ACAACTGCAAAGTGGAGACCTTCACAGAGTAAGAGGGTTTAGGGACAGGTGACACTGAGGAGGGATAATTTCTAAGGGAAGCACCCAGGGTAGCACTAGTGTGTGATGTTCCAGGAGGCAACAAAGGATTGAGGCTTTCATGACAAGATTTCTAACTATGCTGCGCTCATCCTCCTAAGAAGGAGCATGGCAGAGCAGGGCCTAGCGACACAGATTACGGGGAAGCCCCAGGAACAGCTTGTTACGTACAGCCCAGCTGAGTGTACGTAACCCCAGGTTAAGGTGCATTTTGTGCTACTGCAGCCCTGGCTGGCAGCCCAGGCTTTTCCCTCTTCCCACTGCAGCCCACTTGCCCAGCACAGGTACACACAAGGGACAGGCCCTTCCTTGGGGATTCGCAAGAGGCAAGGGACACTTTTGCACTTGGTGTTCGGGGATGGAGTTTGCTGGTGGCTGTGGAGGAACGCTCTGTACAGAGCGGTACCACCACCTCGTGGGGAGGCCGCAACACCCCACAGCACCTCTTCCTTTCCACAATCCAGAGCAGCCACTAACCGATGAGCACAAGGGCAAAGTTATCAACCCTCCCTCTCTCGTTTCAAGACTCAGCTCTGCACAAACATGCAAAGCATGGCAGGCACAGGGTTGGAAAAGCTTTTCCTTCCTCTTTCAGCTCCCTCTTGCCTTCCATGACACAATGTGCTGAGGGAGATGCTGCTGCTCCCAACAGTTGCTCTCAGCAGCTCCTGTATTCTTGAAGCAAAGGTGCAAGAGGAGAGGTACAGGAGAGCAGAGCTGTTGGGAAAACAGCCACCAGGGTCCACAGAACTGACTTAGTACATACATTCATTTATTTTCACTTTAAAATTAGAGATTCATTTATAAGGACTACCAAATACAGCCATCACAGGCTATTACAGACCACATTAAACAAGCCAGACAGTATCTGATATGCACCATTTGAAATTTTAAAGCAAATCAGGATCAAAGAGTAATTTCCATTTATTCTGGGTACTTGTTCTGATGCATTGGCATTACAGAGGAGAAAGCAGTGCCTGTGTCTAGTCCCAGAAGGATGACAGGTCATCTTTTGACACTCATGTTTCTAGCAGAAACTTCAATGTCTGCCCACAAGAAGAGAGGAAAATACAGAATATGCTCCCACGCACTAAGCCCCAACAAGATGTAACATTCACATGTAGTTCCCTAAATAAAAAGCCAGCAGCTGGATGCTAACAGGAACAGCTGTCTAAGGAAGTAAGCCTGGCTGATCACATCCCTAGGATCAAAGCACCAAGCGCTCCAGAGCACAACACTGAAACAATCAGGATTTGTGCAGACTGAAAATCTCCAGAATTTGAAGCTTTCCATTTGTTTGAGAAGCAGTTTCTGGCCTTGGGACAAAAGGGCCTGTCATGTGGTTCAAATGCCAGAATCCTCTATAAAGAGCTGATCACAAAGACAGTGAAACACCAAGCGTTCGCAGGCATTGCCACAGGCTCGTCCTCCCTGCCGCGTTCAAACTGCGCTGCTCAGGGCAGGTAGAGGGGAAAAGCACCGCGCTGCAGAACATGCGCTGAACGAGCTTGTCAAGAGCCGGCATGTTTGGAGGACTCCTGGTATGGCCTCCAGCTGATTTCCCACCAGTTCAAGGCATACATGACTTCTAACCCACACCACCAGACAGATCATAAGCACCTGTCTTTACCTTTAAGTTAACTTTAAGCTAAAGATGAGCAGGCAGTGGTGAAGCGGAAAGAACGCGAACCACACCACAAGCTGAGATACTGGTAACGATCACCAGGCACAAGGCAGTGAGACACAACACTTCTCATCTGTGCTAACAGCACCCCCAAAATCCAGCTGTTGTTACTGGTCACAGCCTTGTTACATGTAGTCAGGTAAGAAAAGTATTTAAAATTGGGCCCCTAAGCAGTCTGAGCACACTTACAACTCGGGGAAGGAGAATACACACTGATTTAAGGCATGATGTTTTAGTCAAGGGGCAGAAAACAAACTCAGGATCAATATCACTGCTCGGATGCCCAGGATCTGACAGTTCACCGGCCTGCTGCTCAGTTTGACCAGGAAAGAAGCACAAGAGGCAGAAGACACAAGCTGAGGTATTCAAATTCCTCACACAGGAAGTTTAAAATGCGAGACTGATCCAAAAATGATCACCCTTTCTGTGATGGCACTTCATTTTAGTTGATGTAAATACCTTTTAAGCAAAAGAAAAAAATAACAAAAAACCCTGCAAGTGTTACATTTGTAGAACAAAATTAGCACGGAACTAAGGCAGGAAGCATGCTACAACACCCCAAGCTACAGACACACTGTTGCCTTTGAAGCCTGTACTTCAACCCTGCTGCTTTTAACTAGTTTCCAAATAAATAAAAGTTAGATATTAGCCTGATGCACTGCTGAAAACTTCTGTGGAGTCCAGAAGCTTACTGCTGCATTGAAAGCTTTTCCAGAACAAAGAACTAAATGAAAACTTATCATCAAGGTCATCAACTCTCTACATACCGTTCTTGATGAAACAGACTAAGAGTGCAACTCATTCTGTGCCCATGTGGTAGAGAAGTCAAACAACAGCGAGCAAAGTTACAGATATCACCTTCATGTTTTAATCCACTGACATAACACCCCCACCACCACCACCAAAATAAAGAGTAACACTTTCCTGAATGTATCTGGCATGACATTAAACAGCTTAACGTATTTTCTACTTTAGTTTTATCTTTTCCCACATTTTTAGAACTACTTTTTCCAGTCCTTGGCTGAAATTGGACATATGGCATGAGTACTTAGAACCGTCATCATCACCAATTGCTCTCAATTAGTGATTTCTAAAGATGACACCATGCTAGCCCACCATCCACGTGAGAGTGAGTTGTCTTTCTTTGTTGCTAGAAGTTAGGCCACATCGACACAGCCAGCATCCTCCTCCTCACCCGCATCGGAGCACTGTAGGCACTCGCACACATCACCTCTCCAGCCACTTTCTGCTGGATCATGCACTTCTCCCTCTGTTCTGCAAAAGCAGCTTCAATACCAGGGACAGTTTAGATTGCTGAAGAGATAGGAAGGGAGATGGGATGTGAAAGAACAGACACACACAGTAACTCCTCTTTATCTGCTCCCATATGGGAAGAACAAGGAAGAGCTGGGAAAATCTGAAGGCTGTGTACTTTGTACATCAGTGTACTTCCCACTACAGGCACAAACAGCAGTCCCAACAGGCCCTGGCTGCCACAAAATAAGGAAAATAGTACAATAGAGCATTGATCGAAGCCTGAAGTGGTCCAAATACTGTTTGTTCACCTGGCAGCTTAACGATGAGCCTGGACAGAACTTCACAGCTATGGAATGCAAACGGGACCCGGGCTGGCAGCAATATTCTATTTTGACAGGCAGGCAATGCAAGGTCCAGGCATTTTGACAACATCACACAGAAGCGCAGTCTCAAAGGTCAGACAGACTCGGAGCCTCTCACACTCCCACTTCAGAAACAAGACTCTGCTTTGCAGCTGCAGTCAGGGGTTAGATCGGGTTTGGCAATGCTCCCTCACCTCAGAAGCCACATAAATTGCACCCACCTCTGCCAGGCCCCCAGATACCTGACTCCAGCCCACAGAGTTCCCTGCTCAGGCAAACAGTGGAGTCCAGGGCATGGAGCTTCACCTCCTCTAAATAAAGCTTTCGTGGCAGAGAGCATCTCCTTGCTGCAGGTGCACAGCGTTCAGCACAAAGTGACCCCAATTCCAAACACTACTGCAGCACAGACACAAAAGCTTTCCGTGTCAGTTCAGCAGACAGCCCACTAGCAATCCAGATGGAAAGTATGCCCTGGTGGTGACAGAGGTCAACAAATCCCTAAGACTTGTCAGGAATGAGGATTTAAGCTATATGACAGTTTAATTTCTATCAAAGCCCAATTTTAATTTCAAATTCTAATTTTAATTTCTATCAAAGCCAAAAATCTGTAAGCTGGGCTCCAGAATATAACAGTGGAAGACTCGACAAATCCCATAGCAGATTATCTTTTAAAGTCACGCTGAATTCTTGAGACAAAACTAAAAAAATTAATTTCCACAGAAAAGACATAAATTTACCCTGCTTGATGACTGGTTATAACCAATACATCATATTATCCTGTTAAGAAAAAAAAGTCAACCACAAAGGTCCTTTCCCTCACAGAACACTGCAGAAATGTTGCCCTCAGTTCCAAGAGTGAAAGAAAAATGTTAATCTGTCTACGTTCCCATAGATTTAGTATGTCTGAGCCTGCAACAGCTAAAAATATTCTCAGCCTGATTATTCCTTCCCATGCTCAACTTCAAGCCACATCTGCTGCTCAAAAGGAGAGAAAAGGCCAGATTTCATCTTACAGCTGGTTCCCCAGAAGATGTGATCCACACTTGCCGCCTACATTTTTATTTCCTTTGTCCATGAAATTCCAGCAAGAGACAACCACAATGTACTTGCCAGAGAGGAACATTTCAAACATTTCAAAGAGAACAAAATCCATAAGATAAGCACCACAAAGGAGAACAGATAACCAGTCAGAAGACCACTGAAACACAGCGGAGCAAACTTCTTTAAACAATTCCAATAATGTGCACAGGCAAGGAAGGAAACAAGGGCACATTGTGCCAACAGCATCACCACAGTGAGCTGCCTTCAAACAACCGGTTCCACTTTATTCAGCTTTCTGAAGCATTTCCCACCCTATTCCAAGTCTATCCAAGTGTCCCAGACACATCCAGAGTTCAGCCAGTAACTTTGTGACCCACCAGAAGAAAGGTGAGAATGCATCTGGAAGTGCATTTCAGTGAAGGTCTAGGTGTAGGTTTTGATATTTGAAACCCAAACACCAGCTGGTTCACACAGTTCCAAGCCCTCTTTGGGGCACAGGTACTAACAGTCAGCACAACGTCAGCCTAGAGCCGAGGCTTCAGCTTCAGCAGTTTGGATTCACAGCAACCACCAGACACAGTTCCCACAGCTGTAAATTAAGGGTCTAGAGAGAAGCAGTGAAAAAAAGATGTAGCACAACAACGCCAGGTGGTTTCATAATCGCTTCTGAAGCGTGATGCACTTCAAAGTTCTCTTATTCACAACCTTCATCCACTCTATATATGCAAAACCCGACATTGCCACTTCACCGTCACAGTCACTTCATAGTCCAGAACAGAAATTCAGAGGATGTTTTATCCAGTCAACAGACAAGAAAATCCTTAGCCTGCTGGCTCTTCATCCATCCTATTTGCAAAGAGACCTGCTCCTTCATTTCCTG